TTTGGCAGTGGCCTAGATGTTATGACCTTCGATGCAGAGGTCTGTTGGGTCTTCTTTGCCTTGTTACTCTGACTCTTGCTGCCAAGATACCCTTTGTGTTTATCCTTCCTCTCAGCCCTGATGCACTTTGATGCAATCCTTAACCTCAGCCTGATGTATGTTGAGAGGATTTTTTTCTTCAGGTCATGGCATGAGGGAAGGTTGCTGTCCAGCAACATGGCTTCTTGTTCCAGCTGTGACACTGCATTTGAGGACTCCATGAGGGAATCGCTCGTCCTCACACGGAACAGCTGCTCCACGTTCTGAACAAGGGTGAAAACCTCATCAGATGGATGGTAATCTGGCTCTAATTTGGTCTGTGTTGAAGATTTTTTTAAACTTTAGATTAATCAAATTGTGTTGTTTTTTTAATGACGAATTAATCCTTTTCTGGTTTACCAGAGCCCTCTCTGCTCTCTTTCTTAGTAATCTCTTCCTTCTCAGTTGCCTCATTAGATCCTCCACGTGAGCCCGGTCACAACTGGCCCTTGGCAGTCTGGTCCCTGGAGCACCTGACCCTGGCAAACTGGCCTCTTCATAGCTGACCCCTGACTGACTGGCTTCTGGCACACTGATCTCTGGTAAGGTGGCCTCTTGATTGTCGGCCCCTGACATACTGGCCCCTGGCAGTCTGCTGACATCTGTCTCACTCTCTCTGTCTGTTATGTCCCTTTCATTCCCTTGGAACTCCACCTCAATATCTCCCTGAATCTCTGTAACAATAACAAGGCAATCTTGCTGTTATATGTGTATGCTGCCTTTACATGTGCACCTATTGTCATTTAAGGGTACACTACACTCCTATAGTGACATTCATCTAAGTTCGTCTATTGGCAATGTTAAAGTATGAAGAAATCTGTAGATTATCTACATGTGGTATATGAGTCTTCAGAGAATCCCTGAACCCTGGTAGTTTTGAAGCTGTATAATCTGAAGGTTGCATTAGGAGTGTAGTCTATCCTTGAATTATATAACATGGGAAGCATTGTTAGCTTCATATATCATACCAATGTTTGATGTGCCATAATAGGTGTGGTCATCATTCCTTACATTAACAGCTGGAGGCATACTCCTTGACGTGGATTTCCTTCTCTTCGGCTTAGGCCGATGTATACATACTGTTGGAACAGCATCTGGCCTCAACCTCAAATTTCCTTCTGATTTGTTGCCAATATATTGGTCGTCTTCAAAGTGTACCTGAAGGTAGGTAGGTTTGATCAGTTTCCACTGCACACTTCAAATGTCATTGAAGAGTCATAATTCTCTACACTTGGAAATATGATGCCCTTTAAAATGTGAACAAGTCATGTCACCTCTGTGAACATTACTTACATGACAGAGTTTTCTGCTGTTGTTGTCCTCTGTCAGACACAGGTTTTGTCTGTTGACCATTGCCATCCATCTCTTCCTTCGCTCTACGTCCTTAGGGAAGCCATACATCCGGAACCCCTTCTCGGATCGATTAGAGCATCCAAATGCTGCACATCCAACCATGGTATGACAACTGATCTATTAAAATGCAATATAAACGAAAGTGCCATAATATTTGTTGTGCAAACATTTTAACATGAATATTGCTATGTCCTCTGTTCAGTCTGCTCCCAACTGTATTCTCTCCCCTTATTCACCACTGTTCCTATTCTTGCTCTGCTTTTTAGGGCCCAGGAAACAGATGAAGAGGATGTCCCTTTCACAAAGGAACCTTTTTGTTTTTTTCAAAATGGTTAGGCTCCTGGATGCCCTAGAGTTCTGTATTGCTTTTTTGTAAATAGTTGCTTACCCTAACCCTTTTTTGTAAATAGTATTGCTTTTTTATAAATAGTTGTTTGTAAATATTTGTAAAATGCCCCCCCCCCACAATTGTTGTTCCCAGAATTATGCTTCTGTTTTTCACTTTTTGGTGTCCATTGTTCAGCCACTGTATTGGTAAGCAACCATTTGTTTTGGCCAAAATGTGTTATTCACACTCCTGACTCCAGTTTGATGTGCTGCATTCTCCTCTGAGTGGTCCTGATTTCAGGCAGAGGTCATGGCTTGGAAGGTTTTATATCCTGTAGTGCCTCAACAGAACCTAATATGAATTGCTTTTTTCAGTTTCTCTTTTTTTTTATTGTCTCGTCGCTGGATCACCTCCCCCAAAGTGGCCTCGTCATTGACAAACCTGTTTTTGTTGCTCTGTTGAACCATGGTTCAACAGGAGCTTCTGTAAATAGTTTTGTAAATAGTTTGAATATTTATCATAGTAATCATTTTCAGTCTCCCACTCTCTCAATTTAATTGATCGTTTCTTTGCCCCACCATATGTTTTGTTGTCCAAGGGCACTAATTTGGTCTGTGTTGAAGATTGTTTTACACTAAAAATTGTGTTTTTTGGCTGAATTAATCTTTTTCTGTTGAACCCTAACCCTCTTTGTTCTCCTTCTCATTCATTTTACTTTGTTTTGTTCTAACACACATCACTTTTTCCATACATTGTTCTTAATACTTGTTCACACATTTGTTCGTCCCTTTTACTTTGTTCTTCCTCTTGTTCTTGTTCAAACACATATATAAATTGTTCATCCACTGTTGTGGTAAAATTATATTCATAGTCTTAACATGATCATGCTACCCATGCTAACATGAACACAAGCGTTTCCCTCCAAAAATGTAAAACGTATCTAAGTATTAGGCTACCAAGCTTTCCGTTGTCACCCTGCCTCTCCAAATGCAAAACTGTCAATAAAAAGTATGCAATAATGCAATTACAGCTGAAAAAGTACTTGGGTGTGTGTGTTTTTTTTAATATATATTTACCATTCAATAACGCAATCGCTGCTGTCTGTCTGTCCCATAGAAGAACATGACAGCGCAGCGCAACTATACTACGGACGTGACATCAACATAGCCTGCTTGTGCTACCACACTTTCCCCTCAAAATATCGTTAAATAACGAAACTTGTAAATAGTGCCAATCCATACAAAGTGTAACCACATCATGTAAATATGAAAGCAATCTTTAAAAAATAACAGCGTTGGTTTAATCTATGACTATTTTGACCATGTTCGTGCTGTTTTTGCCATAGAGAAGCATTGCCACGGAAGTGCGTTTGGAACTATCCCGGCATACATAAACCACGTGACCGGCTGGCGGCGACATCAAAGAGTGTCGTAACTCTTATCTCTCTAGGGCTCTGGCCGGGACGCCCCGTATTTGAGCCAAAAGGGGCGTGTCCCGTACGGGACTTTGTTTGTCCCGGACTCCCGTGTAAAGGGAAAAATAAAATATATTTTTCTGTTTGCGCGCAATGCAGTGTGTCTGGCTGCGTGCCTGTGTGTTTGTGTGCTGTATGCGAAGGGCGCTAGGACCGCTCAGTTGACAGGGCAGGCACAATGCTCGTGTGTGTGTGTGTGTGTGTGTGTGTGTGTGTGTGTGTGTGTGTGTGTGTGTGTGTGTGTGTGTGTGTGTGTGTGTGTGTGTGTGTGTGTGTGTGTGTGTGTGTGTGTGTGTGTGAGAGAGTCAGTCAGCTGATTGATGGGAAAATGGTTGGTTGAAGGATAACATTAAGTCTAATAATAATGTACCGTGCATGTTCACATCATTACTTAATAAAAAATTTCAAATATTTTATTTTTTTAACATTTTGGACAAAATAGCCAATTGTACATCGAGGTGCCCAGATGTCCCTAGTGCCCACCTATCCGATTTGAACATGCTGACACCTATCCGATTTGAACATGCTGATGTACAATGTGATGTAGTAGCCTAATGCAGGTGTAAGACCATTGTGTTTGTATTGTGTTATAGGTATGCATAGTTTTCTATGCATTTTGAGGGTTTTGGGGGGTTTGACCCCCAAACACATTTTCGAACCCTAGGGGCTGGCTCCCCCAAAATAATTAAATAACATAACCCTAACCTAACCCTAACCCTAAAACCGAAATAAAGTTTAAAAAAAAAGTAACTAAATCCGCCAGAAACCCGAAAATCTTCGCGCGCGGGGGACACATGCATGTGTCCCGTTTCTCCATTTCTGGAAGTTGGCAACCCTAAATCAGAAACACACACACCTCTCCCCCTGTTTCCCCAGCCTCTTTGTGGGGAAACTGCAAAGTGTGACATCAACTCTGAGCTGCAACGGTTACCAAGGTGATGGGATTTTGTTAAACAAAAATAGAGCTCAAAAACGTGATGCGGAAGTATGATTTGCCATGTCCTTGACTTGAGGGCATCAGGTTAGAACCTTTACACACTGTCTAGTGTCTCTGTCTGTGCATTTATAATCATTATAGAGAAAATTAGATTCCATCTGAGGAAGTCTATTTTTACTGCAGCATGTGCTCTCCATTAGCCTACTGTATCTGTAATACCCTGCTGCAGTGCTGCAGTTATTGGTCCATTTGAACAGTGAACAGTGCTACTCAGCCTGTAGCACCTACAAAAAGAAAACTATGCACACAACATATAGAATTGTATGGAATATGAAATGGTTATCGGGATTTATAGTTTAGGAAGTAAATACTAGACATGTGCGATGAATAAGAATAAAAAGAAGATATTTTGTTGTCATTCAAGTGTCAGCTCTCATCAAATGTGCACAGAGAGAAAGGCACAGTGCATATCATGAAGGACTGCGTTAGAGAGGAGAGACAGCCAGACATCCCATAAGGCATGTGCCTTCCTCCCCGAGACTGAAGCTTGTGATCACTCATCACCGAAGCTCCACCAAGGCACAGGAAGCAAGAAGGATCCTCAAACACCACAGAGCGGCTTATAAAATCTGAGCTCTGGGTACGAGAGAGGACAGACACGCACAGCTGCTGCTGGGGGGAGAGAGGGAGAGAGAACTCAGAGAGACAGAAACACAGAGAGAGAGAGAGAGAGAGAGAGAGGAGAGAGAGAGAGAGAGAGAGAGAGAGAGAGAGAGAGAGAAGAGAGAGAGAGAGAGAGAGAGAGAGGAAGAAGGGGGGAGTGAGGGGAGGCGTAGGAGGAGACTCGTCTTGCTTCAGAAGGGAATAGGAGCCGGAGAGCAATTCCAAAACAGCTGTCCGGCAGACGTCCCAGTCGACAGAAGTGTAGCCCCGAGGCACAGATAGGAGGCAGGGCAGTGTCAACAAGCCACAGGAGCCCAAAAGCAGCCCCTGAACACACCATACAGACACACACATCAACCTGAAGCTGCTGTGCTCAGGAGCACACCAGATTACCTGCAGAGGATCAAGATCTCCCACATCAGAATATCTAAGGTGAGTCAGAGCGCTTCTGTTAATCTGCAAATAGGATAATGTTGCTGCAGTATGCAATGATGTACCTTTTTTTCTTTAACGTCTGGACTTAAACTGCTGAGTGACAGTGTGAAAGCATGCATGGTGAGTCAAGCTTGTGCTAGAGCGTTCATCCAGCAGACATTCTCACACTTCTAACACAAGAGCAGAACTGTTGGGAGCAACATGATATCCTGTCCGCTTTCCAAGAGACATATTTAAGGCATGTTCCCCTGAAATACAGAGCTGCCTTTATCTCCAGAGGGGAGCAGATTTGGTTTTTCATGGGGTACGCAGGGAGGAAAGAGCTTTTTATTTTTCAAGCCAGTATATGTTGACATTCCCTTCATGTTTCATGCGCTTTGATTAAGCTCCATGCTCATCCCTGCCAAGGATAACTCTGACATCTGCTTGCGGGTGGCATAAGGGGAGCGAGGAAGTAAGACGGAACAAACACTCCACCCTGCCATTCGCCCTATTCTGCGGAACCACAACCAGGCCCCCGAAAGAAAGAGACTTTGCCTATGATTGAGGGTTTTTTATGTATAAACAGCTCAGTCTTTTCTGTTAGGCTACCATTACCCTCTGTGGTGTGTTTATAACAGCCCGAAAGAGAGGGTCTTTCTGCTTCAAAGGCACGACAAAAGTCAACGCCATGGTTAGATGTCAGGAGTATTTTGAGACAAATCTCACAGTAGGACAAATAAAAGTGTGTCCCTATGCTGATGATGGTACACTGTTCACAACTACTACACAAGTGCAGAATAGCATGCTATTTTTCAACAGCACTGATGTGAAATGTCAGCACACTAATCCCATCATGGGAGGAATATTTAGGCATGTCTATTTTAAAGAAGTCATATACAGGTCATATTTTGGACAGCTGCTCTCCTGAGCCTCTTTCTGTACGTTCGTCATCACCAGCTTTGTCTTAGTTCAGCAAATTGTAAAACATGATCAGCATTTATTTAGGCTACAGTACCCAGAAATATCTTGCATGACTTTAAGGTGTCCAGAAATACCCAGGCAAATCCTGAACCATTTAATTACCAGATACCAAACCTACATTTATCTGCACACACGCTCAAACTTTCATCACCTCACTCCCTCTGGTACCCCCCTCACTAACAACTAACCCTCTAAAGCACGAGCTGATGAGGCAAAGCTCCATTTTTAAAGAGGTTGGAGTGGCTCCAGACCCCTTCATGCCCAGACAGATAGCTGCTGCTGACCCAATGACACAGTGGCTCTTATCCTGCAGCTCGCATGATAACTGGATGGCTGCTCAGGCAAGCAGTTCTGAAAAGGAAGGTGCCATCGGATCCCCACTTCCCCAGGAGGTGTAAATGAAACCCGTGACCGCATTATATGGTGGCGCCGGGCCTAAAACAGTTCACACATGTCAAGCTGCAGCTTTTTTGGATCAGTTCCAAAAGGAAGGTGCAAATCCGGCTTTGGCTTTGACATATACCAGAATGCACCTGCTCAAATATTAACATCCTGCAGAGACAGGGGTGGATTTATGGGGTCCATCCTGGGATATCCTGAGTTGTTGTAATTGATTCATTTCCTCTTGGGCCAACACAGGCTTGACATACATTGCTAAGGCTCTTGAAATTCCCTACTTACACTCAAATCAATGTGCCCAAGCTCTCATTAGTTTAACTCTCACACTGGTTGTGCTCCTTAAGACTGACATGAGGGTATTGTTTTCTTCATCATTTGCTCTGGAATTCCAATCATGTTTGCCATATAAGCCAAACTGGGCCACCAGCAGGATGTCTGACGTTGAGGTCAGACTTCCAGGCTTTCATCGCACCAGCTGACTTCTCATGGGCCTCAAGTGTTGACCTTGAATGCACAGCAGATGTCCCCCTGTGAGAGTCTGCTAAAGGATTTCCTATAAGTTCTGTCCATACTATTGATTCCACCAACATAATTACCTTTAATAATGCATGAGCTGCATGTTTTCCCATGCAACTGAAGAAAGGGTCCCCACAGACAGGGCAGATGTTATAAACTCAGACCAATAATCAGTCAGATACCTTTGATAGGAAGTGTTTCTACCAGCAGTGACCTTCTATTCTTGGGTATAGCATTACAAAAGTGAATACAGGTGTAGATATATGCACTCCAAGCCCATAGGGAGCAACTTTTGTCTTGGAGGTGCATTTGATCCACTTCGTATCCAAGCCCAATTTCCCACTGCAGTAAGCATCAGCTGTCAAGGTCAGAAAGGATGAACGTGCAGCAGTAAAGGGATAGAGCCTAGAAAGAAGTGGGAGGAAGAGAACTGGAAGAGAGACAAAGCTTGAACTAAACAAGTGAGGGAATTTGCCCCCCCCCCCCCTTCATCAAACACTGCAGCACTCTTCTTCGCCTTCACTTTCTCTCACTCAGTGTTAGCAAACAAATCCACTCTCCTTCCCACACATGGTGCGCATTCGAGGCTGCTATCTCTCACTGGCACAGTCAGGCATCTCGCGCAAACACTCACACCGGCACTCAAACACACAAGGAGAAGCGGTGTTGCCATTCAACACACTCACACATGTTCGGCATCACTCAGTGTTTGTCATGGCTATATATAGCCGTACAGTGCTTGTTGGGTGACAGGTTTATTTGTGTTGTAATGGCATCTCCTTAAGAATTCACCTTATACTTCACATACCATACAGTTAATTGCAGATATTGGTACTTGTGCCCTCCATCAAACAAGTTGGAAACACAAGCATCTATGATGGAAGTTAGTTTCAAGCCGGTTACTTGGAGTCAAATACACAGAAAGTGTCTGCCTCCCCGGCTCCAAGCTAATTTGCCTGCTGAATAAACATAGCCTGCTTAAAGTGTCTCTGATAAGGCTGATGCAGTGTGTCTACAGGCTTGGTTCGACAGGAATGTGGATGTTTTCTCAGAGAAACTTTTTTTTGAGGGGGGGTGGACCTGACCGCCCTGGAACTTTTGTGCAGCGGTGCACTCCTTCAGACGGTCACTGCTGACAAATCTCTCAAAAGTAAATATGTCTATAAATGGGCAAGCTCTCTTCTCACTGCTGCTCTCTTCCACCCCCCATTACGCACGCACGCACACACAAACACACACACACACACACACACACACACACACACACACACACACACACAACTCCCTTCCTACAATGTGTTTTTTTCCCTTCTCCTTGGTTGCTGTGTCATTTCAAACGGTCAAACTCATTCACTCCTCTTTTTACGGACATCATCTTACACAACCAATATGGTGACATTCTCATTGGATTTGTAATGGAAAGGCAGCTGTAGGCACCATGCCAAAAGGCACCTTTTATCCAATACAATTCCCCATTAATAATGTTTACCCATCCTCAGGTTTTCTACAACCAATTTTCCTGTAATCCCTCACTCTATCTCTCTCACACAATCCCCCTAACCCCTTCCCCCCCTCTAGTCCATCTCTCTCTATCTCTGTGCGTGTCTGAGCAGTAGCTTGTCGCTCAAACAGGCCGCCCTGCTCTGATCTTACTAAAGACCTGCTTCGCTTCCCCTCTCCCAATCTGCGGTCCAGCTGTTCCACATTAGCACATCCAGAGCTGCGGAGGCCCAAGTGTGGAAATGTGAATAGTGAGCAAAAAGCCTAACATCCAGGCTTTATCTTCTTCTACTCTGGCTTCCAAGCTTGCCAGATGCAAATGAGGATAACATTGCTTTTACTTGCAGGATCCAGAGATTATTTGTGGGACTTGCTGAGTTCCTGACCAGATGTGTTCCCCCCCAAATGTTCCTGTCCTAGAACCTTCAGGAAATGTGCTGAACTCATGTTTGGATAAAATGCTGACGTATTTTTTATTTGTCTCTGATTTCAGAAAAGCGGCCATTTGACCTTTCTACACTGGAGGACATCACCAGAACTGCTTGAAATCCTGTATCGATGCCGCTATTGCTTAAAGTTTTTTGGAGTCCTGCCTGGCCGATGTGCTACTGAGAATGTAACTGGAGCTTCTGCAAGGGGAATTATAACGTCCAGAACTTGGAGAGCATATCCGACTTTTCTATCCTACACACCTGAGATCTCTTCCGCAGTTGCAGACATGCCTGCGAAAGCACCCATATACCTGAAGCCCACCAATAGTAAGAAGGGAAAGAAATGTCGCCTCAGAGATATTTTGTCCCCAGACATGATCAGTCCACCACTTGGGGACTTTCGCCACACGATCCACATTGGCAAGGGAGGGGAGAGAGATGCCTTTGGGGACATGTCCTTCCTCCAGGGGAAGTATGAACTCCTACCTGGGAAAAGGAGCGTCCAGCCTCAGTATGGCATACAAAGTGAGTTTCTGAGAGCCCACAGCACTGGTGATGCTTCCTTTGCCGAGACGCCTTCTCCGGTTCTCAAGAACGCTATCTCCCTCCCAACTATTGGTGGCTGCCAGGCGCTCACACTTCCCATGATCTCCTCCCCTGTGTTCGCTATCCCTGCGGAGCCATCGGACGACATCATGGGGTCTACAGCTGCCATGAAACCTGACAGCGCAGAGGAAGTAGAGATGCTCCAGATGGATGCCCTGTTGCGCTCCCTGGAAGTCTTCAGCAGTGGGCCTTCTTCTCCCTGTGCAGACATCCAGTCGAAACCAGACGTCCTCCTGGATCTGCTGGAGAATAAAGATAAGTCCTCCTCCAAGGCGGTTTCCAAAGCTAACAAAATAAACAAAAGCAAACCCAGATTTGACAAGCCGTCATCCTTTTATATAAATGGCAACAGCACCTTCAAAACTAACGGAAGCCTGAACAGTAACAAGAGCAGTGACAGCTTTGACAGCTTTAACGGTAAAGGGGACTTCCAGAACATGACCTGCAATGGCAGCCGGAGTATCAGCAGCAACTGCAATGGTTATGGACACTTTAACAATGACATTACCCTGGGCTTAAAGCAGGAGCTCTCAAAGTGCAATGGAGAGTGGGTGGACAGGGACAGTGGGGTGGAGGAGGGCCGCATCTGTGATTTCGACTTTGGGTTTTCCAAGGAGAAGAGTACGTCACAGGATTCCCTCACCCAATTCACAGGGTCATTCCTCTCCCTTGAACTTGATCTGGGCCCATCCATCCTGGATGACGTGCTTAACATAATGGATAAACCCGCAAAGAGCAGGCCTTGAGCTGTGCTGCGGCCCTTGGGACGAGAAAGGGAATAATTCAACTAATAGCCATGAGGACAGAACGAGTCATTCAAAATGGTGTCTGGATATATCATTGAGATGAAAATGAGCTACAATAGACAGAGCTGCTTATGTTTTTATTGTTAAAACATATTACTATTCTAGCTTCTATGGAGTGTTGGTTCTCCTTCTTTTTTTATTTGCTATGCCAGCCGCATGTTTAGGATGCATGTGCGATTGAGTTACTGCTTAAACACAGCCATTGTGCCTTTTGTTTCGCATTACTGTAAAAGTGCTACATAATAGATTTGTGTTCTGTTGACTTTCACCGTATAATTACACAATAACTTTGAGGTCCTTACCCTTTTTTATACAGGCTTGAACATTTTGCATTTTGTGACTGGGAGGCGTGTGGCTCAGTGAATTAGTGCGTTGGTGTTTGGATCAGGGGAGCACAGGTTCAAACCCCTGCAGTCAGCAGCATGTCGTTGTGTCCCTGATATATTTCACCCCAAATTGCTCCTGTGGGGATTGTCCACAGTATTGAGTATGTAAGTCGCTTTGGATAAAAGCGTCTAACAAGTAACATGTAATGTAATGTGACTTCAAGTGTGTTTAAGAAGCGTTATTTTTTCTGTCACATAATTCATTTGCCACGTTTCAAACAACAGAACACTATGCATATTTGTGTTGTTAAAACTGTAACACAAATAAATAAATGTTGTCCTATTCTGGCTAATTTCAGGTTATTTTTTAGAATCAATCATCAACAATCAATGCTCCTCCCAGGGGGGGATAGGGTTCTGCGACAGTTGTTCCATTTTAGAATAAATTAAAAACATTGGTTGAATAAAAAGAATACAGCAACATTTGTATATAAAATGTCTACCTGCTTGTCAGCCTTCCATCTGTGCACAAACCTATCTCGTGCCCTCATTGGTCATGTGCGCGTTCCTGTGTGTTGGTCGGAGGAGGGGCTCTGTAAGGAAGTCTGAAGGAAGAGGGAGATTTTTTTCGGCTGCGTAGTTTCAAATTCTAGCGCACTCAAGCTGGTTTCTCCAAAATTACATACCCCACCTTTAAATGATTGAATTATGACGATCGCCTGCTGTCTTCCTCTTCCGTTTTTTTCCCTTCGATACATAAAGGCTGCAGCACCTTTGACAACTCGAATCGTTTGCTGTGAAAGCATATAACTCTAACCACGCAGAATTAAACCCTCTGTGTTCCTCCCATACTTTTATTTTTCTTTGATTTATCCATAGTTCGCTCATCGAGCCGTGGGTCAGGTTATTCCAACACATCCTCACTCCCAGGTCGGCCTATGTTGACGTTATGTCAAGGTCCCTTGTGTCGGCTTTTTCCAACGCAAGGGGGGGGCAGCCGTGTCGGCTTTTTCCAACGCAAGGGGGGGGGGCCCTTAGCGTACATTTTCAACTTTCCGGGATGTCCATAGGCTTCTATAGCCTATAGCTCCCTAAACGTATGTTGTAGACGACTTGAGATCGCGAGCGAATGCTACCCGCAGATCCATTCTCACAGCGTTTATCAACCTTTTTCTTACTCAATATCAAGCCACACTTATTGTTTTTACTTCTTTATTTTAATTGAATAATGTAGGACTTTTGTTGCCGTCAGTTATGGGGAGAGTAGGGGCTCAGAATACAGAAATCTGTATTGTTTCAGCGTTTTTTCCTTCTAATTTTGTATTATTTTCTAAACCACACACTGTTATTTACTCAACAATAACACATAATTATCCTTGTGTTTATTTATTTGTTTGATTAATAAACACAAGTTGGAGTCCATCAAGACTGAGGGTCGGAGCAGCTCACATACCTCATTCACACCAACAGTGTTTCAGGGCCGGTTGGGAGCTGGATCTTGAAATGCACCGGTTCGTTTCAAGCACCAAAAAATTGTCGGCTGGAGCAAAAGCACCGCGTCACGCTTACGTCGTGAACAACAACAAAAAGCCCGCGTTTTATCCAGTTTGTACACAACGATGGAGAAACTTAACAAGCAGCAGTGGTCCACTGAAGAGACCAGCTACCTACTGGGAATCTGGTCTTCCGAAGAGGTACAGAGGAAGCTGGAGCACAATCGGCCATTGTTGTTGTTGTCGGTGTGAGCTGTGAGGGGTTTCCGCGCGGTTTGGCTTTATGAAGCAGGCACGCAAACGGTTACGTCATGACGCAAACGATGACGCAATGACGCAGCACCAGTCGGACTATGGGCTGTGTGAAAAGAGCCGGAGCTAAACCCGAAGAACCGGTTCTAAACCTGAAAAGCTCTAGCACGGAGCTTGAACCGGAGTTGCGTTGGTGTGAATGAGGTAATAGTAGCCTAGTTGCTTTAGAGAATTGTACGCCCGGAAGTAAGTATTCTCTCCGCTTTGCTTGACAAACCCATGGATGTATAATAAGCACTGGATACAGCGTGGGAGGCGGGGCCTCATTAATTCCTATGAGAGTTGCTCATTGGCGCATGATGACAAAATGGCCCAACTTTTGAGAGAGCGAAACGTCACAGATTACCCGGCATGCCTGAGAAGTACCCGTATGTGCACTCATAGAGCATGCGCAACTTTGACCACGCCGCCCAAAAGGCTCGTTCACATTAAGCACGTGAATTTGCGTACACGTAACAGCACCGCGCGTTCATGACAGCATGGTACTGGATTTATATTAATGAGGCGGCAGTTAGCAGCTAGCGGCTAGCTAGTCAATTATGCTAAGTTACACATCAATCGTTATGTACTTTTATATTACGCTGACATCAGGATCTAGTGATATCCAAGCAACAGAGCTTCATTTAGCATGATACTTGTGTGGGTTGTACATGAAACCACTTGGTAATATATAAAAATGTATATGTTGAAGCCTGTTATGATCAATTGTGAGTTAAAACTTTATCTAAAAAGTAAAGCTGATGATGGATTACTGTGGTGGAGTTAAAATAACAATAGCCTATTTCTTTTTGAAATGTGATGGAGTAAAAGGATAGTAACTGTGATTATTCATGTTAAGTAGCCCACAAGTAACTAAAACAATTGCAAGTGCAATAAGAAGCTACAGGAACGTTAATCTACGTCGGTAATATTAACTTTATTTAATACAATATTTACGGTACAAGATTTACATCATACAGCCCATGTAGTATAATATTTTACAAATGATGAATTACAGCAAACATGTGCAATATATTTTATATTACAGCTCCGTGGGCTGGCAGTAAGGCGATATGGTCCGTTGTTATTGTGCATCCATGGGTAAAGAGAAACTCATGTAGTGCTGAACACGTAACATGAACGTGCCGGGCGGCGCGGTCCCGTGGGTTAGATGCGCGTTCATAATGCCGAGGGAAATAACTCTCAGAATAACGTTATTAGCACATTTTTACAACTTGAGGACCGAATGTTTTTAATAAGGGCTATACAAACGTTCATACTGGGTAGTTTATTTAGTTTTTAAAAAATTATCCAACGAGTTACAGACCACTCTTTCCCAATGTAAGTCAATGGGAAAAAGTGTTTCCGGGCCCAGCAATCTAAAGGAAGTGTAGTACCGCCGTTTGACCAGCACGAATATTCTTATCAGACTCCGGCGCACTTCCTGGGGGCTTGGACAAACCCTGTGATAGTCCTCAAGCTCTGTGATTGGATGCTTGAGTGTGCGCCGAGGGTTACGCCGAGCATCCAACAACTCTTTGAAATGGGATGGAACCACAGCAGACTATCCAAAACGGAATTTGAACGGGTCCACCCCATCCCCCCCTCCCCCACCCCGTCCCCTGAACTACACATGCTGGCTATTGTGTGTTTCTCAACATGTTTAACTTCTATGGCACGTCTCTGGGAATTGTAGTTTTAAAATACGTTTTCATATTTCCCATAATAAGAAGTTGCCAGTATTAAACTGTGTACATCCCTGGAGGTTTAGGGATAGGAAACACTCACATTTAAAACATAGAATTAATAAATGGGTGAAAATTGCTTGTGCCCATAATGGGCAGCATTAATATATACATGCCAGCTAAGGTCAGAAGAGCTTTATTTAACAGCTGGTCTTATGTCTGTGACCCCTCCTGTTGTTAATTGATAAGCCTGAAACATGCACTTGTCAAGGTTCAGAGGCATATTTTGCAAATATGGCAGTAGCCATCGATCATCTTAAGATAAGATATACTTTATTGATCCCAAGTTGGAAACATTTGCGTTACATCAGCATGTGTAACAGTTGTAAATATGCAGTGGTGTTTATTTGTAAATCATTTAGTATAATCACACAAATTCTGTGTTTTATAGTTAATAATTCTGTGTTCTTTATTTATTCAATATTCAATACCTGACAAGGTCGGAGATGAAAAACTTGGGACGCAGGTTCCTCAACAGTGCATTACAAGACATCTATCAATATGTGTGTACCTCCACCATTAAACTGTCATATTCTGCACATTTCTTATACTATCTACATACATCTTATAAGAGTATACTACATATGTATAATATCAGTTAAAATAAGTGCTTAAACATACAGTAGTTAACATTGCAGGAAAGCAATATATTAGTACTTTGTCAGGCTTAATATGTATACCCCCAAAGCTTTTTTCTTATTCAAAATAAAACCTTAACCTAAAGTATTCTTTAATGTTTAAATAAATCCTTATTAGTTTGTCTGTCTGTGTCTCCTATTAATATCTAATAATAAAAATAATACATTTCAATAACGTGCTTTAACCACCAGGTGTCCCTTTCTATCAGCTGTGCACCGTTATGGTGTAAATATACCAATATACCGATTGGATCAAATATAAAAGTCAGCCGAATTAGTATTGATACTGCAAGGAGACTTATATTGTGAAGAGAAATTGAAGATTTTGTTTAATTGCTGATATATTTATGATCCACGTCACATATTCAGTTTCGGCGGCAGTTGTTCCAGTTTGTCTAGAAGTCTTCTCATCAGGGCTCTATAAATAGCGAACTACGGCAGATATGTAATATTTAATTAAGGATGGGTATCGTTTGAAATGTATCGATTCCGATTCCGATTCCGGTTCTGCTTATCAATTCCGGTTCTTATCGATTCCCCGTTTCGATTCCAAAATTGTAAAAGAAAGAGGTCAAACGTTTAGATAACAAAAATATCTTTATTCTTTTCAGCTTTAACTGAAATTGTTACAAATAAAAAATATACATGCAATACAAATGTATTGCACAATAGCTGTGCTTTATTTTAACTGAGCTATGCCTGTGGCAAGCTATTAACACTGTGCCCAATTGTCTTTTTATTTTTTAGTGTAGTGGAGCCTCACTTCAGAGCGTTTACCGCGACCCATCTTTGGTGTTATGAAGTGACTGAGCTCGTGAACTGTCTACGGGAGGGCGGGGGGAGCCTCGCTGCGGGGCAACTGTGGACCTCTGTCGCCTGTCAGCGCAACTTACATGATGCCGTTTAAAAAAATTAAGGGCGGTGCCGGCCATCAGCGTACCGAGCCGGCCGTCAACGGCCCGCTGACGACCGGCCGTTCTGTGATTCTCCAGGTCCGCCCTGTATTCCACCGGGTCACCGCGGCGCCGCGGTACAGACGGACCCGCTGGAATACAGGGTCTACCGCGTTTAGGAACCGTTAAGCAGAACCGAAAAGGTGTATTTTGTACGGGTACCCGGTACCCGGCATTTTCTTATCGGTTCTCATCTGGAACCGAGTTTCGGTTCCCAACCCTATATTT